ATATATATATATATATATATATATATATATATATATATATATAAATACTAAAATAAACTGCTACTTGTACTAGTATTGTACTACTATTCTTACTTCGTGGATTTTCACTTATCATGGGGCTTCAGGGTACGGATCCCCTGCGATAAACGAGGTACTATACCCGGAGAAAACCCACACAGCACGGGCAGAACATGTGAACTCCACTGAGAAAGGTCCCCCGGCCAGGATTCGCTCCGGTGACCTTCTGCTTGAGAGGCACCAGCTCTACCAACTGAGCCCAATATAATTAATCATTTATCATATTGCCTTATTTATCAAACTTAGTCTCCTACAAGTGAGATAATCTTCCAAACTGAAAGTATCTCTTTTGTTTAAAAAATAGTACAAAAACTTTTAACTGGTTCAATTAATTTGACTTAAACTTGAAGTAGAATTAAATAAAAAGAATACACAGCCAGATATCATGTACAGTTTGCAGGTGTGTATTAGACGCACAAAGTATGACCCTTTTGGCTTTCCATACATTCACCCCTCTACTGCTGCCATGGATCAACTGGAAACTTCATCTGAATGAGTCCTTCTTGCTTCATTTTGATATTAAGTGCATTATAAAGTACAAACCGGATTCCAAAAAAGTTGGGACACTAAACAAATTGTGAATAAAAAACTGAATGCAATGATGTGGAGATGGCAAATGTCAATATTTTATTCGTAATATAACATAGATGACAGCTCAAAAGTTTAATCTGAGTAAATGTAACATTTTAAAGGAAAAATATGTTGATTCAAAATTTCACAGTGTCAACAAATCCGAAAAAAGTTGGGACAAGTAGCAATAAGTGGCTGGAAAAAGGAAATTGAGCATATAGAACAGCTGGAAGACCAATTAACACTAATTAGGTCAATTGACAACATGATTGGGTATAAAGAGCTTCTCAGAGTGTCAGTGTCTCTCAGAAGCCAAGATGGTAAGAGGATCACCAATTCCACCATTGTTGTGCAGAAAGATAGTGCAGCAATATCAGAATGGTGTTACCCAGCGTAAAATAGCTAAGACTTTTAAGTTATCATCATCAACCGTGCATAACATCATCAAAAGATTCAGAGAATCTGGAACAATCGCTGTGCGTAAGGGTCAAGGCCGTAAAACTCTACTGGATGCTCGTGATCTCCGGGCCCTTAAACGTCACTGCACCTCAAACAGGAATGCCACTGTCAAGGAAATAACAGAATGGGCTCAGGAATACTTCCAGAAAGCATTGTCAGTGAACACAATCCACCGTGCCATCCGCCGTTGCCAGCTGAAACTCTACAGTGCAAAGAGGAAGCCATTTCTAAGCAAGCTCCACAAGCTCAGACGTTTGCACTGGGCCAGGGGTCATTTAAAATGGAGTGTGGCAAAATGGAAGACTGTTCTGTGGTCAGATGAGTCACCATTTGAAGTTCTTTATGGAACACTGGGACGCCATGTCATCCGGACCAGAGAGGACAAGGACAGCCCAAGTTGTTATCAACGCTCCGTTCAGAAGCCTGCATCACTGATGGTATGGGGTTGCATGAGCGTTTGTGGCATGGGCAGCTTGCATGTCTGGAAAGGCACCATTAATGCAGAGAACTATGTTCAGGTTCTAGAACAACATATGCTCCCATCTAGACGTCATCTCTTTCAGGGAAGACCCTGCATTTTTCAACACGATAATGCCAGACCACATTCTGCAGCAATCACAACATCATGGCTACGTAGGAGAAGGATCCGGGTACTGAAATGGCCAGCCTGCAGTCCAGATCTTTCACCTATAGAGAACATTTGGTGCATCATAAAGAGGAAGGTGCCACAAAGAAGGCCCAAGACGATTGAACAGTTAGAGGCCTGTATTAGACATGAATGGGAGAGCATTCCTATTTCTAAACTGGAGAAACTGGTCTCCTCTGTCCCCAGACGTCTGTTGAGTGTTGGAAGAAGAAGGGGGGATGCCACACAGTGGGAAAAATGGACTTGTCCCAACTTTTGGGATTTGTTGACGCCATGAAATTTGGAAACAACAGATTTTTCCCTTAAAATGAGACATTCTCTCAGTTTAAACTTTTGGTCTGTGATTTGTGTTTTATTCTGAATAAAATATTAGATGTTGGCACCTCCACATCATTGCATTCAGTTTTTATTCACAATTTGTTTAGTGTCCCAACTTTTTTGGAATCCGGTTTGTATCTTCCTCTACTCCTTACTGTCACGTTAGCAAAGAGCTTGTTAAAACGTGTTTTTTTCGAGATGAGATTGGTACAACAGAGTATCAGAGCCACTCAGAGGGGAAAAAAACTTTTTTTTTTTTCAAAAAATTACCAAAAAATATTTCAATGTTGAAGAAAAAGTTACATCTGAGGTGGAAGGATTGAAAGTTCTAGCTGCTGTGAGAGCAGAGAAGACAACACTTCAACTGGTTCCAATAAAATACTGCATGTTTGTAGGTAGCCCAGTAAAAGTACCCAAAACCTTCGCAAACAAAAATAATAAACAGAACACATTCGGGGTACTAGATCTTCTGGTTTAATCTTGAAACACAATTTTATTCTGAAGATAAAATTGAGTGTAACTTTTTTCACTATTGTGATTTGTGGTTCCTGATGTTTTTAAACATGCAACTCCATTAATTAAAAAACCTGGACTTGACCCTTCAACTTGCTCAAACTTCAGACCAATCTCTTAACTTCTGTTTCTTTATAAAATCTTGGAGAAAATAGTTTTTATTCAACTAAACAAGTTTTTGAATGAAAATAGAATTTTTAAGATCTTTCAGTCTGGTTTTAAATGATTACAAAGCACCGAAACAGCCTTGGTAAGGGTCTGTAACAACATTCTTCTAGCAAATGACTCTGGTCAGTTTGTAATCCTTATACTCTTCGACCTTACTGCTGCTTTTCAATTCAATTCAGTTTATTTATATAGCGCCAAGTCGCAAGAGAAGTCATCTTAGGGCACTGAAGACTGCTTTTGACACTGTTGACCACAGTATCCTTTTATCTCCATTAGAACATTGGGTTGGGATTATGGGTGCAACGTTAGAATGGTTCCGTTTGTGTCTGAGAGACAGAAGTTTTTGTGTTAATGTTGGTAATAGTTTATCTGCTTCTGTGCCTCTTTCCTACGGGGTCCCACAAGGCTCCGTTCTTGGACCCCTTCTGTTCTCATTGTATCTGCTCCCCTTGGGATCTATCCTGAGGAAACATGGCCTTTTGTTTCATTGTTATGCTGATGACTGCCAGCTTTGTCTGCCCTTAAAACCCAACAGTTCCAGCTCCATTCGCCCTCTGTTAAAATGTCTTGATGACATCATGGCTTCAATTTTTTTAAGTTTTAGTGATCAAAAAACTGAAGTCGTGTTTATCCCTAGCTCTTCTGCTGTCACTGATCCTGTAAACCTGGACTCTCTTCAGACATATCTTAAACAGTCTGTTACAAATCTCAGGATGGTTTTAGACTCTGACTTTAAATTTATCAAACAGATTAACTGCAGAAAGGCTTCTTCCGGTTAAGGCAGATAGAAGTGCTGACCAGATCTGACCTTGAAAAATTAGTCCATGAAATCGTTACAACCCGACTAGACTACTGTAACACACTTTATGTTGGGGTCAGTCAGGGGTCCCTGTCACGTCTCCAGCTCGTCCAAAATGCTAAAGTTTGGCTATTGACAGGAACTCATAGGTTTGAGCACATTTCACCAGTTTTGTCCTCCCTTCACTGGCTCCCTGTGTGTGTCAGAATTGATTTTAAAATGATCTTGCTGACATTTAAGTGCATTAACAGCCTTGCACCCTCATACCTGTCTGACCTACTTCAACCTCAGGTGCTGAGATCATCTGACCAGCTGCTTGTACCAAAAATCAGGTTGAAGCTCAGAGGAGATCGGGCCTGTTCAGACATTGGCCCTAAACTTTGCAACAATCTGCCCATCAACATTCGAGAGGCCACTTCAGTCTCTGCTTTTAAATCCCTCCTGAAAACACACCTGTATTCACTGACATTTAACACAGTATGATGGGATTTATTATCCCATCGTTTCTCATCATGTTTGTGTTTTTATCTTTTTCAATGCTTTTAATTATATCTTGTTATTTTTTACTTGATGCTGTGATTTTATTGTTAAGCATTTTGGTAAGAGTTGCTGTGTTAAATGTGCTTTATAAATAAATTTGACTTGACTAGAAATACTGAAAAAAAACTTAACCACACTGCACGTGTACAGTTACACCCCTGTTAGCATTTCTTGTTTGATTTGGACATTTCCCGTTACTTCTTAACATTATTGGTAAATGAAACTATGGGATGAGACAGAAAATTCTAAAATGATATTTCTCTAAAAATAAACGAGTCGCTGCCTCTGACGGTGCTTTACGTCGTGCACTCTGCAGAGCTGAGGTGACAAAAAACACAAACCCGTTTCAGTTCCACTTCTACTACTTTCACAGCATTTACACTTTTTTTTTTTGCAAAACGAGGAACATTTTATTGAAAATGAAGGAAAACAAATTTCAGCCCTTACCCACAAACTTCTGTGGCATAGTGCTCTTACGTTTAGCTACATTATTAGCTAGTCTGTCTAGCACCAGGGCTCTGTCAGATCCCGTCTGGCTTAAGTCTTCCCTCTGTTCATTCTGGATGCTTTCTTCCTTTACTACTGGAAAGAAAGACAGAAGAAGGTTTTAGCATCAATTTAATTTGATTTGGTGATTTAATCTGTTTATATCCACGGTTCTGATGCCAGAATCTGTGGGTCATTGAACCAGTCTTTGTTCATGCATCCAGAAGGTGGGAGGTGCGCTCATCACCTCAAGAAGAAATAAATCACTTTAAATAATCTGCAGCTGTTTGGGGTGTTTAACAAACTCCTAACTGAGTTTTTAGTCAAGTCATAATGACAATAATAAAACCTACGCCCTGTGCAGCGCTGCAGTCCTGCACTGAGGGTTACGTTGGGCGTTAGCTGTAAGTGTCTAACCTGTGTATATGTTCTGCAGTCCCATGCACTGCAGGTAGTTGTGACACCTCTCCTTGTGCTCCTCCAGAGAACTGCGCTGCTTGTAACTCCGTCCACAGTAGGCACACTTGTGGGGCTTTCCAACTGGAGCACAAACAAACAAATACACAAAGCCTCAATTTATTTTTATGACGGTAACGTCAGACAACAATGCTGGTTTTCAAAAAAAAAAGTTTATTTCCTCAAGTCAATGAATTAATATTTTTATTCATTTAATAGTCACTTGGAGCTTTGTATTATACCTGGTACTCACTGGATTTGTACCTGCTACTTACTGGTTATATATCTGATACTCACTGGATTTTAAACAATTGTTAAGTTCAATGCAAAGGGTGCAAAGTTGAAGACCACTAGGAGGAAAATGTGTCAGGAGACAGAGGAGAAGAGGAAAGTCAAGAATATAGGACTGAGGATTGCAACTCTAAATGTGGGGACAATGACAGCCATAGGTAGAGAGCTGGCTGACATGATGCTGAGAAGGAAGGTAGATGTTTTATGTGTCCAAGAGACCAAGTGGAAGGGCAGGAAGGCTCACAGCATTAGAGCAGGGTTCAAACTGTTTTACCATGGTGTAGATAGAAAGAGAAATGGAGTAGGGGTGGTCCTGAAGGAGGAGTTGACAAAGAATGTAGTAGAGGTGAAAAGAGTGTCAAATAGGGTGATGTGTCTGAAGGTAGAAGTAGAAGGTCTGATGCTAAACATTGTCAGTGGTTATGCTCCACAGGTTGGATGTGATGTGGAGGAGAAAGATACATTTTGGAAGAATCTGGATGAAGTGATGGAGAGTATTCCCAGGGAGGAGAGAGTGGTGATGGGAGCAGACCAGAATGGACATGTTGGTGAAGGAAACAGAGGATGAGGAAGTGATGGGTAGGTTTGGTGTCAAGGAAAGAAACCAGGAAGGACAGATGGTGGATTTTGCCAAGAGCATGGAAATGGCTATAGTCAGCACTTATTTCCAAAAGAGGGAGGAGCATAGAGTGACCTATAAGAGTGGAAGAAGGAGTACGCAGGTCGACTACATTCTGTGTAGAAGAGGAAACCTGAGGGAGATTGGAGACTGTAAGGTTGTGGCAGGGGAGAGCCTGGCCAGACAGCATCGGATGGTTGTGTGAAGAATGACTGTTGTTGTGAAGAAGAGGAAAAGAGTCAAATCAGAGAAGAAGACCAAATGGTGGAAGATGAAGAAGGAAGAATGTTGTGAGAAATTCAGAGAGGAGCTGTTAAAGGCTCTGGGTGGTAAGAAAGAGCTTCCAGATGACTGGACTACTACAGCAACAGTAATTAGAGAGACAGGTAGGAAGGTGCTTGGTGTGTCATCTGGACAGAGAATGGATACCATACCACTTTACCATACCACTTTATTTATAGAGCACTTAAAACAGCGACAAGGCCAACCAAAGTGCTGTACAGACAGAACAACAGGTAACACACAAAGCAAAATACAAAATGAGGTAAATCAGAATATAGACATAACAATGATGCAGATAATGACGACAAACCAGTGTGGAGCATACAGGATCAAAACACAGATCCTCTGGTGTTGAAAGTTACTGAATAGTAGTGAGTTTTTAAACGGGACTTGAAAAGCGAGAGGGAGGGGGCCTGTCTGACAAGCAGAGGTAACTCGTTCCAAAGTCTTGGTCCTGCAACAGAGAAGGCCCTGTCACCTCTGCGCTTAAGACGAGTTCCTGGAACTGTGAGGAGCAACTGGTCCGCGGACCTCAGGGAACGTGTTGGGACATACAGTTGTAGCAGATCAGAGAGATGGGGGGGGGGGGGGGGGGGGGACTGTTCAGTGATTTGTAGACATACGAGTATTTTGAACTGGGTTCGAAAGTGAACTGGTAACCAGTGCAGTGAGGCCAAAACTGGTGTA